CCCACTTCGGGGGGCTCTGAAGACCGCCCCTCAGCCCTGGCCGCCCGCAATCCCGTACCCCCACCCGGATCTCTGAGACCCGGGGCTGAGACGGCCCGATGGCCCGGCTCCCGCCAGGGTCTGCGCAAGGCTGCCAGCAGCGACCCGGGCCCGGCGGCCGAGGCGCAGGCACAGCCTCTTTGAAGTTGCTGCTACGGGGCGGCGCCCGGCCAGGGGAGGGATGGAAGTGGCCCAGAGGGGGGATGGGCCCCCGCCCGGTTAGAAACCTCCTCGTCGTCCTAGCAGGCAAACCTGCGGCCCCACCTTCTGGTGCAAGGAGCCCCCGAAGGCAAGACCTGGGGGCCGAGCCCTGGCCCGGAGCGGGCCTGCATCAGGGATACAGGACAGCAGCAGCAGGCAGCACCAAGTCTGGGGGTGGGGACAGAAAGGCTCCAAATCTAGTTTGGGGAGGCCCTCCAGGCTGTCCGTAGAAGCTGAGCCCGGACAGGCTAGAGGCCAGGTGCTTTGTCCTTCATCTCCCCAGGACACCGCGCCTCGCCTCACTGGCCTTGCTTCCCAGCCGGCCCCTGCTCCTTCAGAAGGAGCTCCTTAGGAACCGAGTCACGGAGGTGCCCGCTCAGTGGCCGAGCTCAGGGCAGGGAAGTCAGGCGCACACAGCCCTTTCTTAGCCTTCACGCCACTGCCAAACCCTCTCCTCCAGCGAGGGCCTGGGTCAGAACGAGGCCCATGCCATAAATTGGCCAGGGTGCCACCTTACCCCCCTGTGACTCTTCGGGGCTCCTCATGTGGTCACACCAGAGGAACACTGTTGGCTTCTCCAGACCCCAAGGAGGCCACTCATGGACTCCACAGTCCTGTCAGCGCTCTCTTGACCAGGCTGTGGTCCAGGGCGCTGCCCTCAGAGGCTCGCAGTGGGGAGAGTTGGGTCCCCAGGGCCTGGAAGGCTCTGCAGCAGGGCTGGGTTCACAGGAGTACGAATCCAGGGGGGCTAGGAAAGGGGATGCCCCTCCAGGCTGGAAGGTGGGTGCCTCTCTGTGGGGGAGAGGAGGACGTCTGAATAGGGTGTGTTTGGTGGTGGTGGGGGCATTGCTCAGCCCTGTGCAGACTCAGGTCTCATGTGGCCAGAGCAGCAAAGGCCAACAGAAGACGACTAGAAATCCCTGGGGGCCATGGACTCCACCAAATGACGGAGGCAGGCAGCCTTTGCTTTATTGGCTGCCCCTGGAGTGGGATGCACAGTGTCACCGGAGCTCAGAGACTCCATCTGGGCTCCAAGGGTCCTCATGAATGTGAATGGTACAGAGATTGGCCCGGGAGACTCACTTGCTCAAGAGTCTGTGCGCACCTTCACCCAGGGCATCCGCAGGGATTTTCTTCTCTCACTCACACACCCCAGGGGCGGCCAAAATCTCAGCCCATCCCATCCCATCCTAAACATTCCCTCACTCTTTTGTTTACTTCTTCTTGTTTACCACATCATCCCCTTCTGGCAGGGGTTCTCCTGTTTATTAGCCATTTGGGCCTTTCGCCTCTGGGCATTGTAATCTAACTTTGGAGACTCCTCTCCCCAGGCTGAGAAGCTGGTCAAGGTCAGAGTCAGGTACATAAGCTCTCCCAAGTCATTGTATTGTTCCATTTCACTGGGCAAGGGTGTGGGATGGGGGAGAAATGTAGGCTTTCTAAGACTCATCCCACCACCACCCACTGTGGGCTCCTGATCGCCAACCCCCACCCTGACTGGAGAGAACATCAGAGACCCACTTCTGCCTGAACCCTCCTGGAGGGCCGAGGCCTGCACTGGCCTTGGCTTCAGGGACCGGGCACAGTTCCCTCTCCTGGGCCGTGTCATGGGCCCACTCGTGAGCACCATGGGCTCTGAATCACAGGTCAGATGAGCTCCAGGTCCTGTGGCTTCTCCAGCTCCTCCAGGAGCTCCTTAGAATTTCCTTTCTCCCCTTAAGGTCTGGTCTCCCATGGTCCTGGGGGATTGCTGTACCGCTGCCTCTCTATTGTGCTGCGGCACCAAGCCATGGGGCAGCTGCAGGGTCCGGAAGCCCTTTTCGAGGTGGGGTATGAGCATGCGACCAGCTCATGCGTCCCCTCTGCTCCAGTGGCCTTCACGCACTCACTGGACACCCTGCTAGGCCACTGTGCTGCTGCCGAGAACCAGACTGCTCAGGTTCTGCATTCTTCATTCACTCAACAAACAGGTACAACAAACAATGTCAAGGTCTGTGTCTGCCCAGGGCTGGGATCAAGGCACCCCCATTTGGGTCGGGGCTGTGGAGATCTTATTAGCATGTCTCCTGGACACGCAGCATAGAGCCTGGCCTGGGAAGGTTTTCAAAAACATTTTCTACCATCAACATTATCACAGTTACAGGAATTGTTATCTCAGCTCACCCCTCAGCTGTGGCCCAGAGAGAGACAGAGGGTGTGGGGGCCCGGAGAAGGGGGAGACTTCTGCTCTGGCATCCTGGAGACCATACCCAGCAGCTCTGTCCTTCATGGGAGTCCCAAGTGGTTCAGGGCATGATGCCCAAGGCCCTCTGTGTGACCAGTCCAAGGCCAAGGCCTCCTGTCCAAGTTCAGTGGAAACCACAGTGCTCTTTCCTCGATGGGTGGGCGGGGCTGGCAGGCTTCAGCAGGAACCGATGCCCTTGAGAGATGCCCTTGGAACTGAGCCCAGAGTGACGGGGAGGATGGAGCTTGGCACAGGGAAGACCTCAAACAGTCACTGCAGGAACAACCCAGGGGGCATAGCCCAGAAGTAGACACAGGCCCAGGGTGGAATGCCATTGGGTCAGGGCAGGACAGGTCAAGGTCTGAGCTCTAGCCACCCCCATCCTCATAGGCCGGTATCCTGAGTGTGAGCTGCATTCCACCCTGGGGACACAGGTCTCTGGATGGAGCCTGTCTCGTTCAGACTCAGCTGCCTGGGCCAATACATCTCCTCCTCCCAAACCCACCCCAACCTCCAGCCAATAACTTAAGTTCCAAAGGGATCAGAATTCTTGATGGCGCATCCTCTCTTCTCAGGAGACCTTGTACACAGCACTGAGCACCCCTGTGCCCCACAGCCAGAAGAGACTGGAGAAGCCCCCTTCTCAGTGTGACCTCTGGCCACTCTGATACCTTTTCTCTAAGAGGCCTGTGGCTCAAGGCCAGGATCCTGTGAGTCTGGGGACAGAGAGGACAGTAGCCTGCGGAATCGCAGAGCTGGACGGGAAGGCGGTGTGGGGCCTGGGATTTGACCCTCCAGTGATAGGGAGCCATGGCAGGCCGAGGCAGGGTTTGGGGGCTCTGGGTGGGAGGGGTCGGCAGACTGGGAGATAGTTCAGCCTGGGGAGTGGGCTGGGGGCTGGTGCTCAGTCCATTCTGGGAGGTAGAGCTCAGCCTTTTGTTGGGTTAGGGGCTGCAAGGCCCACAGGGAGAAGGTGCTTATGACAGGGCATTTCCCAGCCCCGCTCATCCATTCAACCCCTCAACAAATGCTAACTGAGTGGCTGCTGGGTGCCCCGCCCAGAGCTGGCTGACCAGACTTGGGGTGGGTGTGATGGGGAATCCCCAAACTTCCATGCCTTCTGTTGGGGCTGAGAGGCTTGGGGAATTTGAAGGGAGCTAGCCTCTGAGAGTCCCAAAGGGGACAAAAGCTAATTCTATCACCGGGAGCCTCCCGGCTGGCCCGGAGTCAGATTCCAGGGTGGGGGCACAGCCCCCTGCCTGAAGGGAAAGCAGAACAAACTTCAGGAAACTGAGCCTCAGAGGAGGTGAGCGACTGCCCCAAACTCACCCCGCTTTCCCGTGGTAGAATTTGGACTGCTTTGCTCAGGGTTTGGTGCTGGCCAGGAGATTAGGCATGTCTGCGTCCTACGTCATACCTGCTACAGTCTCTACAGCATCCTTGCCAGACTTGCTTTGTCTCTGTTTTCACTGAGAAAACCGGTCTGCTCTGCACCCCAACAAAGGGGCTGCCAGGTGGCAGGGCGGGGGCAGATTTACCCAGCTGGGCCCAGGGAGGCCCGGGCCCTGAGGCCAGGGAGCTGAAGGTGTTGGAAGGAGTGGCATCTCATGCAGGGGGGTTGGTGGAAGATGGTGGGAACGCTAGAGGCGG